GAAAGGTTAAATTAACAAAAAATGGTATTCATTTTCTATTTCATAGCGGTTACATTTCGTACATAAACCAAACGAAGACTCTGTGATTGTATTAAATCGAGTTTTCTGTACATTCATATTATGGCTTAAACACCGGAATTTAATAAAGCTCTAAGAAGATCTCTTGCAGAATTCATTCACGAGGGACGGATAATCGGCTAGATTATTCTATGTACAACTAATTGACAATGTAAGAGAGCAAATTACGAAAAACGTATGAAATGTCAACCCTACGGAAATACATCACTGAAGTCAATCTGTTGTTAAGATGACGTATTGTTATCAAGTTGTGACGTCATGAATAACGATGACGTTAATATTGTATTGTTGTCAACAATGTAGCAATCTCTTCAACTGGACAAACAGTATTGGGAATCACTAAAGTTAACGTGTAAATATCAGAAGGTTATAACACACGATATATCCATGGATAATACAGTAATATGTTGACAGTTCATATTGGAGCCTCCGGAATTATTCAGAATATGATATGTCCGATCTGTTATGATGAATACATCTGACCAATTCCCTACCAGAGCTTCATTTTGGAAGCGACGTCACCATCTCCACATAGCAATGACGTTCCAGAGAATATATTTCGATCATGACTGTAATAAACGGGGCAGCCAGCATAAGCGCGGTGTCATTCAAAACGGAGCTATTTCAGCGCGTGGATAAGTTATAAGTTGAGTTGAGTCAGCATGGCCAACATAAAGCTAGAGGATAATCATGGACTACAACGCTTCATCAATTCACAGTTTTGAATATTTTGAATTTGATCTGTTGAATGTCGAGGACGAGTTGGACATACTGTAAACCATCAGCCCAGACAAAGCATGAAGACCTTACAATAGGTTTCAAGGATGGAACTCTCCATGCAGATTTAAACATATTTGTCAACAAATTACCATCCAACAAAAAGCAATTACAAACAATTATACAATTTCAAAATACCAAGGCACAAGACATTCAGAAGACAGAAAGTCCAGAATGCAGTGAGAGATCATGTTGGTATCATCCAACAAAGGCCACATCAAATCAACAATAAGAATGTGACAAACTACTAAATACATGTTGAGCCCCGCAATCTTTTCCTCAACACCCACAACAGCTAGCTTCAGTCTAGCCACACATTTCTTATCTATGACTAAAATATTTACGTTGCCACTTATCATAAATATATCATTAATAACTTTACATGAAAACAGTAAGCATTTTGGTGAAGCTACTAATTATGCAGTGTTTAAAGGTATTACCAAAAGTGTAATATGAGAGAATAGACTAGGGGCATTGTCTGCGTGTAAAGAGGGAATCAAGGGCCTCAAACACAATTCAGGAAGTAAAATGAAGGTAAACGTTAAGTAGGCTGCAAAGTAAATAGTGTTGCTGATACATTATTGTTGCTGATGCTGATACTTCCATTTGATTCTTTAATAGGGGAAAAATCTAAATTTATCGTTCATTATATCACAATAATGTCCCCTCCTTCGCTTTTTAAATTATGAGAAAGGTATTAACTGTAGAAAGTATTGAATGAAGTTCACATGTTGGCCGACTTTCCAAATACGGAATAAAACAGCCACCTACATTGTGGATGTTGAGTGTCATAACTTACATAAGTACAGCTGCTGTGTGACAGGATCCTGATGCCAATTAGAGAAATAAATAATTTAGCAAGAAAATATAAACCACTGCCTAGGCAGAGATGTCTTTTTCTGTTTTAAATTTGTATTCCAAAACACAATAGGTACAGGTGTCAAGTCTTCGTCCCTGGATGTAAAGTTTATGACTGTAATTACTAATTTCTGAGGATGGTGTTCACATCCATGGATTTCATTATGTTAAAAACACTACAAAACGTAAAAAAAACGAAGGGTACATGAATGTAGCTTTTCAACGTTCATACAATGTAACACTGGTAACCCTTTGGTCGCTTCCAAGAGAATGACACTTGATGACGTAGCGAAGTGGAGAAATCAAAGTTATCGGCTGTCTAATGTGGAAATTCCACAGTCTTATATGGCGTTGTCACTTGTCTACCAATGCTCAGTACACCACAGGAAGAGTTTCCGATCGTCCACGTTGAACGGGTCGAGTGACATGCCATGTGACATGACTGCTTAATTGAAAGAATGAAAGTAAAAAAAACCAGAAAACATATTTTCTAAAAAGCTGAAACATTGTAAGAGTCCGTTTTGTTTGATTTTGTAAAAATGAAAATAATATCTCGTTTACATTTCACATATGTATCTCGTTTTAATCTCCTCTCTGTTTGAAAGCAAATGTGAGCAACTGTGGCATATTCGATGTGCATTTAAAATCAGCAATCTGTAAAACAATATATGACTAATACGAATAGTCACAGTAGTTTTAATGTCATGTGAACAATTTTAAATTATATCATGGCTTATTGTGATTGGAAAAACCCGAAGTGATGCAGATCTCAGACGTTTACCTTCCTGGCGAAACCCATGAACGTTTGTATGGAGCTGACAAACCAAAAATAATAATCAAGGTAGATCTGGGATTCAAATCTACGATCTTTTTATCCAGGCAAGCTTAGGGTGTGCAACCCTGCCCATCGAATTACGGCGCCCATAAAATGACTAATACATGGAATAATGGTCATACTTGCCATATTGTGTAGTAGTGACAACGGCATTTAGAATATATTTATAAACGTAAAACATATACGATAATAATAAAATGTAAAATATTCATAGAAGTAAAAATGAGCTTTAGGTGACCATTTCCTGTTCGGGTCCCTACACGGCTACAATGCCACATAATTATAATATCAATCGTTTGTGTGTCGTGATACTGGCAGAAATACTGCTGAATATTCCTGAATATTTCTCAATCACTCATCATTTTGATCTTGACTGACACAGAAATGTCTTTGCAAAGACACATATAGACTATTTCACGTTGCTAACATACTGCAACACTTTGGGGCCGTGTTTGGCTTCAGTAAAGAGATACCTCAAACCAGATATTACATCAGGAACAAATATGACAACTACTGTAAGAATAATTAAGAACGTTCCGACAGATCCTAATGTGATGGCACTAGGTCTGTTGTCATGAGCACTCGTCCGCTTCCTGATATACCTGGAGAGGTTCTTAGTCTTCAGAAGAAGGACGTCTGTGATGTCCTTTCGTAACATCTCAATGAACTCCTCCGTGATGTTCCAAGGGACGTGGGCCTTGCAAAGACATCCACAACTCTGTGGTACATCTACGTCTTCCCCATCTATTGGAATGACAGCAACCGAGGCTGGCATATTGGCAGGATATGTTTGCAAAGTTGAAGTGGCTGAAGTCAAAGAGCTAAACGCTGTGGACGATTTGGTGTTTGATGAAGAGGTTGCGGGAACAGTTGGTTCTGATGACATGGTTTCCAATTCAACCGTAGATCTCGCTGTTGACGATTTGATCACTGCTGAAGATGATATTAGTGCTGGTTCAACAGTCATGGTTTGAAAAGAGGACTCAAACACAGTTATGAGTGACGTCATGGATGTAGAAATCACAGGTGATAATGACGGATGCGGAGTCGATGTGTGGGGGGACATTGAGGAAGATTCGATAAGTGATGAAGTTGAAGAGTCTTCCATACCTGCGTATAAAATGGAATATAAATATATATATATATAATATATATATCAAATATATATATTTGAAGGCGAAAAGTACTATGACAGTTACATTATCTACACCATAGATACTTAAACATATATATAAGAAAAACGTAAGTAATTCATCGAGCGATGCATCTTTTCAGCTTCCTGTAATTTTATTATCGGAATGTAGAAATTGTTGTTTCCCCTGATTAAATTATTATCTGTTGACAGCTTCAATCTGTTATTGTGATAGTGGAGCTGCTTATATCCTAACACTTCATCAGACAGAAATGAACTGAAGAATGACCTGGGCATAGTATTGGCAAAATACCTGGGTAAAATGACCGGCGCTAAGTTTGTATGGACGTGGTCACACAATCTTTAGATGTAAGGGCATCAAGTAGGCTTTGCTTAAGTACGGGGTTAATTAAGCAAACATATTCTCAAGCTATATTATTTTACGGATTTGATGTTGAGGGACAAATGGTCATAATCAGGACGCATTTTGGGAGTCGAACTCGTGAGGGGCGGGACCATGCGGCAAACTTAGGCATGGTTCGCAATTCTTCACCTGACATTAGCCAACACAATATAATGCGCACCCAACCCTAATATAAGATAAACTGTGGCAATTCTGTTCCTGTTCTGTACTTACGAAGCTCAATTCGATCCATAATTTGGGCCATACTTTATATAATTGTCAGCTTAATATCTGACAAGAATTCTAAGTTTTCACGGAATATCCAGCAATATCAAAAAGGTTTGGCCTGTCAACCAATACAAGTACACAAACATACCCGTAAATATGGATCTAGTATGACGAAAGGGTGTAGAAAGTAAACTTTTGCCAATAACAAATAATTAAATAAAACATGTGTAAATCTTCTTTAATGAAGAGTGAAATGAGGACGCACACTTTAAAAACATTTTTTCAGTCACGTTGTAAGTGTTTGGTGTTTAACGTCGCACTTATTCGAGCTATATGACGGCGACCTGAAAATAATCTTCACCATACAATCCAGTGATTGATATTTTGAGCAACGATCCACGACCTACGATGACAAGCAATCAACCAAGTCACCTGATATCCATTTGGTCGCCTCTTACCGACTTCAGACCTTTGACCTACATGTATAGGGAACCTTTTCTAACAACAACGTACCCACGGAGGTCAAGGGCGAGGTGAAAGCCCAAATTAACGGGTGTGGTGCTGACAGACCAAGAATTATGTTCGTGGTTCAGTTGGGATCTGATCCCGATCAGCTTGTCCCGAACCCACTAATGCCTGACTTCCTGCAGTTCCCACACCCTATTCCATTAAGATGGAAATATACTCACCAAACTTCATGTTGAGAGGAAAGGATATGCCATTAAGCATGTCCTCAGTTGTACCATAGAGATATGAACCAAATTCCATAGCGCCATCACCAACGGAGAGAGGCCACTCGTCCACCCTCATCGTTAAAACATCATACTGACATGTGGGGATGACCTCCCTGGACACTCCTGGAGAAAATACGTCACCTCCAACATCTGCGCGGCGGATGACCGAGACAACGTACATATGCACGCTCACACCGATCATGTCAGTTAGACCAAAATCCAAAAATAGTCTTCTCGTAAACCTGTTATTAGCAGTTAAAATACACATCGAGGCATCCCCAGTTGTTTTCTTATTCGTAGATTTTCCAAATGAGATAGCAAGAATAGGATTATTTGAGCTGATACATTGCTGGCCGCCGTCATCTGTGTCGATGTCCACGTACTCAAATGCGTTCAGGTTGAAGGATGAACCAATGCTGGAGTTCACCTGGGTGTTGTCCGAGGCAGAGACAATTCTGTTGATGGTTCCTTTCGAGCCATGTTTGATAAGGACGTAATTCAGACCAAAGTGTTCTTCTGGAATTAGCATCTCTTGTATAGTATCCAAACCTGAATTGTCGAAGACGCCAATGTTCTGGTGACCTGAGATGACAACGACAGGCTTGTCGCTAACAATTCTCGTTCCAGTAAAATCTCCACTACAAGCCATGCCATAAACATCATAGGCGTCAAGGACGTGGTTCGAAGTATCACCGTTTTCAAGAACACCGCATTTGTCACCGCTAGGAATCTTGTAATAAACGTCCACTGTGGTTTGGTCCATGATAGCTATAATCAGCATCACTGGTTTTTCGTTTTCAGAACGCATACGACCGTATGTTACTGCAATGTACGAGGTTGACAAGGCATGGAAAGGAAGGGCCATGTATCCAGATGCTTTGGTTTTCATACCATCGTAGACATAGACTGAAACAGATGATGAGGATGTGACGTACACTGCCGAATGTGAGGCTGTAAAAAAATCATTGTACCTCAACGCTCTCGGCAGTGTTTTCTTCCAAGATTGGCCAGGTTCAAGTGTTCTCATCAGGTCCCACCCAAGCAGAGGAATGGTGATATTGACATTTGCTCTCTCCTCACTTGAGATAAATAAAAGCGGGTTCCCTTCGGTTGATGGGATGTCTATGAACGATAGCATGAACTCAGTTCCTCTTTGATCCTGGCCAGCAACTTCTTCTGGAAATGTACAGAAATAACAGGATAAGACATCTGCACATTTAGTATTATCAAAATCATACATAATTGCAAGGTATGTGAATAGGTGTTGAACAGATATAAGTAAAATCACGATGGGTCAGCTCAAGGAGGATGGCACTCATGATGAGCAACCACGTGGTGAGTGCTGGGTAGCGCTAATCGCTTTTTCTCAGTGTGGACCTGGGGTACAATGTGTCCTCAGCACCCCATAGGCAACCTGTTTGCCGTTGGTTGCGCCCCTGTGTCGGCGGAGGACGGGAGTCTGGTGGTTGAGTGCAGTGGTTCCAGGAGTAGCCTTCCTTTGCCCAATACACCACTTTGACCCTTATTGGTGGAAGGATGGGGCCCGGCCCTATCAATCGGCTTGTCACGTCAACCCCTGTGGATCAATATTGTGTTGCACAAGTTTTTTAGACTATTGAATTCTTTTGGTCAAAATGTTGCAATGATTTGTTGTTGTCTTGGCCAATTGTTATATTTGTTGAATTTGTAATGTATACTTTCTAGTATGTAATTTGCCTAGAGTCCTATGCCCAGAAGGCGGCCGCGGTGGCTCATGGGTCAATCTGGTGGATTAATTAATTTTCAATTAATTCTTCTGCTTGAGTATATCACCTCAGTATCCTTGGTGCTGCCAATTGGAGATCCACTGGTATTTAGCATTGTCTTTATGACACTCCGTGGTGGGTGGGGAGCTGGGGGGATGAACCGTAAATACACTAACCATGGCACACGCAAAAATAACAGGCATTAGAGGATTCCTCAGATGAGGAGAATGCAACCCTGAGGACTTCGTCTACTTATTGGTTTCGATTTTTAGTGGTTTCTGCCACTGATGGTTCTCCATTGAAGATGAACCCATTTGCCATTTCTAAAGCATTGAATGGCATAGTTGGAGATGTGCAAGAAAATCCGTTCTGGTTTGCTGCTCTTTGAATGTAAAACTGCTAAACAAGCTGCTACACATTTGATTTCTATTCCTGTTTTGGTTATACCATGTAAGACCCAAAAATCAATCAAAGACATTGTCAAAGATAGAGACCACTGTCTCTCTGACATGTCCGAAATTGAAATAGCTGATGAATTGAAAGACCAAGGAGTTACAAACGAGATGAAACAATCATTAAATCAAATACTTATCTATTGACTTTTTCCAAACCAACCCCTCCAAGAAATATTAAAGCTGGCTACTTTAACATCGAAGTGGATAAATATATTCCCAATCCTCTTCGATGCTACAAATGCCAACAATTTGGGCATGGGGCGCAATCATGCCACAATCACAAGATCCGCCATCCATGTGGAGAAGGTGACCACAACACAGATGATAAATGTAGCAAAAACCCACACTGTGCAAACTATTCTGGAGATCATGTGGCTTCCTCGAAGTCCTGTCCCAAGTTCAAAATTCAGCTTCAGATGGTCAAATTGAAACATGAAAGAAACATAATCTCCCTGAAGCAAAGGTTTGGTCATGTCTACTATCTCTATCTCCACATCTGTTTCATACTCAGCAGCTGTGACACGCATAACTGCCAAATTAGTTACCTCCATACAATGCCAGACTGATTTTACTTGGGTTAACACCGATAACTTTTCCATGATACAATCTTATCTTATTCCCAAACAGAAGATCAACCATCAACACCAGTGGCAGCAGTGGCATCAGCACCAAAACCAGCACCTATTGTGACAAATGCCAGCAAAAAAGTTGATTATTCTAGAAAGTTTGATCGTGTACCGTGACCCTATACAAATATATAATAGGTTTCAAACCTTGGAGGACATGGATGTCTCTACTCATCCAAATGGGCGCAACAGAAGTAAGTCGCATCGAAATGGGAGAGGTAGATCTCGTAGAATTGCAGCGGTCTTAGGACCAATTATAGTGAATTACATTTATTAATACAAGATTTAAACCCATCGGCAGTCTCCAGGAGACATATATCTCAAAGAGACTAACAACTTTGATTTACGTCGGTATAGTTCCTACAATTCATTTTCTCCTCCAGGTGTTAAAACTACTGGAGGATCTTCTGTTTTGGTGAGACAGGATGTGATCCACAGCCCTGTGGCGCGAAAAAACAATCTTCAAGCTGTCGCAGTACACCCGACTTTGCACATAACGTTTATACTGTGCTCTCTACGGATTTCCCCTTCTTCTGCGCTTCAGCGATCAGATCTTCAATCACTATATGACCAGCTCCCAAAGCCCTGCTTGATCATGGGTGATTTAAACGGACATAACCCAGTATTGGGAAGTGTTGCCGTTAATCCTAAAGGTAAAGTCCTTGAAGATTATATGATGGGTCAATAACAATCTCCCCTGATGCATTGCTGCTTCAAGTTGGCGTAATGCTTGTACAGGAGGATCTCGTGCATGTATGCGCCGCCCCAGAATATCCCAAACATATTCAAGGGGGTTCAAATCTGGGCTCATTGCTGTCCAGGGTAGAGTCGTTATTGCATTGACCCTCGTGCAATCCACCACTGCATGCGAGCGATGAGGCCTGGCAGTGTCATCCATGTACTGAGGTCGAGTAGCAAGAGGGTGGTTGTCAAAATGAGGAACGACGACTGGCCTCAAAACGTCCCAGATATACTGAGCCCCTGTTAAGTTGCCCCTTATGGTGACCAAATCCAGCCTGCAATCATGAGAGATACACCCCCAAACCATTACCAAACCCCCGCCGTATGCAATAGCCGGTTTAATGTTCCTGGTGGTGTGGGCTGTTTTCCGGTGGCTCCAAACTCTCGTTCTTCCATCATGACGTCTGACCAATAGATCCGTCTCCAAGTTCTCAGATTCCAGTTCCGTCGCTCAATACACCATGCTAAACGAGCAGCTTTGTGGTGATCTCTCAACAAGGGACGCTTTATGACTCGTCTAGACCTCAGTCCTGCTGCTTTCAGCCGTTTCCTGTTCGAATGTATGGATTTGCAGAGGCCTTTGGAATGGTTATGTCGGCAATTTCACTTAAATTATCAGAAAACAGCTGAATAGGATCAGTTACATTCCTGAACACATCAGGCTTCAACCTATCAGTACAGAGTTCTGAAAGGAAGGCCAGTTGGCTTTTGTAAATTTCCACCTTGATGTGGATGGAACATCAGATTGATTATTTTCTGTTAGGATTGAAAGGAAATTATCAATTCCACACAAGTCTGTTCTGGTTCTGAAACAACGATTGGCCAACCACAGCCTCCCGATCTGGGACGCTTCTGTTTATTACCGGCTGGAGCATGTTTCTCGACTAAACGGCTTACGACAGTGTGATGATACCCCAGAATCAGACCAATGGCATAACAAGACATTCCTGTGTTATGCATGCCGATTATTTGCAATCTTGTGGCGTTTGGTAATCTCCTTCGTGCCATGGTCACATAATGTCATGGAATAACTGTTTAAAACCGAGCTTAAGAAAGCAATTTTAACGTTTGGCTATACTGCTTTTAGAGATACTCGAGGGTAGCATGCTGCACGAGCATACCATGCATGGCACATGAGCTTTCGTCATGCATGACCGATTACATCATCTCGAGAAAACATAATTTTTCCCGTAATTATAGCTTTCATGACTGTTACAAATATTGGGAACAAACAATAATGAAATATGTTAGGGTGTGCTTAACTTTTTTCTTTGTGTATATTTCAAATACGAACTTGTGCATTTTCAATGATGGATCAAGTACATATTTACATCCTGCTACTGGAACCTATTCCGCTTTAGATTTGTCATTAACAGATTCAAATCTATTTAACGAAGTTACGTGGTCGGTTCACAATGACTTGTGTGGAATTGATAATTTCCTTTCAATCCTAACAGAAAATAATCAATCTGATGTTCCACCAACATCAAGGTGGAACTTTACAAAAGCCAACTGGCCTTCCTTTCAGAACTCTGTACTGATAGGTTGAAGCCTGATGTGTTCAGGAATGTAACTGATCCTATTCAGCTGTTTTCTGATAATTTAAGTGAAATTGCCGACATAACCATTCCAAAGGTCTCTGCAAATCCATACATTCGAACACCACGGTTTGATAATGAGTGCAAACAGGCTAGGAAGTGCAAAAAATAGGCTGAGAAATATTTCCGCCGACATTCGACTGTACATCATTATATATATGACGTCACATAAGTTTTAAAGAGGTGTATTTCGAGTCAAACGGGAGCATGAGTAAGACATTTATACTTACTACTGTTGAAAATGAAGTTTATGGAACAATTATGGAAAACCGCAAACCAACATTTGGACGATGTGGGAACTGAACGGAGTTCTGTGGAGTTTGTGATTTGTCGTGTGTGCTGTAATAATTTGCATGGGTGGTATGGGTCTTGTCATCTGAGATGGACCTACTGTATGACCCGGCGCCAGCTTCATGTCTGTGCCCAGTCCTTCCGCACAGAGAAGGTCGGCCAACAATTTAATAATTAATTAAAGTTTCTTTCCTTACCTATTTATGTTTTATTTTTTTGAAAGCTAGATTAACTTTATTTGGCTTACCATTGAATATTTTCAGAGCCTATCAATAAAGTGTTGTTCATTGTAGATTTGCTGTGTCTTGGTTTCTCAAAATCCCGGAGTTTTTGTCCGATACGATGGTGAATCGGGTTTCGGTTTGGGATTGATCAGGAGCAGTTGCTTTGATCTGTGTCGGCGGCCACATCTGAGCAGGGTTCCATATTGTTTTCATTCGCTATTGTCTTGGTGTTAGATTCCTATCATTTCCGAAAACAAAGTCTATATCGCTCAAAAAAATCAATTTCATGCACCTCAGTAATTTTACAGAACTTTCTTCACTTATTAGTATTGATATATACTCATTCCATATCCAAATCACCGTAAGGACAGTCCATTTTGTTTCATGTAGGTCTAGCAGCTTGACGACATTAAACACCAGAACCAAAGCATTTATTATTTATAAGTCAGATGAAATGTTACAAGACCAAACAAAATACTAAATTAATTATATTGCTGATAAATGCAGTGGTTAAAAAGAAAACAGAAAAAACTTTTAATAGATCTTTGTTTGGCCGTAGCGATAACAAAGATCTGATTTTATTGAGATTGTGTTAACTTTATAGTATGAAATTATAAATCAATTAATATATCAACAAGAATATATACAAGCGAGAAGAAATATTAATCCCACCGTTCCATTTTCACAGATCGATTCAAGTCCAGACCATAACTGCTTTGGAATATATCCCAAAACAGCCTAGCTGTAAACGGTTCATCACATTTTCAGATTCATTATCGTGTCTACAGGCCATAAAATCGAGCTTTTCAAGTCATCTATTCATTTAAGATATTTTAGAACTATACAATGACCTTGCTACTGACCAATACGACATCGTCTTTTGCTGGTTGCACTATGGCTGATGCTGCAGCAAAGGCAGCACTCAACAAATCTGTGACAACACTTTTGGTACCATACAGCGACTACAAATCTTTAATTAGATGCTATATAAAAGGCCTAATGCAAAAGAAGTGGGACACCCAAGTTGGTACTAATAAATTACATGCAATAAAACCAACTATCGGTGCGACGATGTCGTATTGGCCATTCTCGTCATACACATGCATATTTATTAAAATGTGAAGATCCTCCATTCTGTGTCCCTTGTGATGAAAGAATCACAGCCAAGCATGTCCTGCTTGACTGTATTGATTTTTCCATCACAAGGGATAATTATTTCCAGGTTTTATCCATCAAGAATATTTTTAACCAGGTAAGTACTCATTTAATTCTTGTATTTTCTCTCAAAGAAATTGTGTTAAAAGATCAATTTTGATAATATGTATTGTAAAAGGTATGTGATTGTATTTGGTAAAATGATTATATAACTGTGATTGTAAGTGGCTGTACCTTCAAAGGGGGTTGAAGTTACGTAAAATAATTGTCCTCCTGAGAAGGTACGTAAGTCCCACTTCATTCAAAGTATGTTTCATTTCCATGGTTTTAATCGTAGAATTCTTGTTGATTTTTAAATGCTTTGGTTTAAACTTACTAACACTCATCAGTAGCCAGAGGGATGGTGTAAATCCTGCTGGGTTACCATGTAGGTAGCAGAAGTACCGTACGTCCACACGGCACCTAGTATGGTGACCTACCTTTGGTTACTGGTGATCTATAGTCCATTTTTATAATGTATTGTTAGGAATAGTTCAAATTTTAAAATGACATACTAGTTTTATATCTACGTCTGTGATAATCTAGTTATGTTACTGTCCTTCGTCGACAGGTTTTATAGTTCAGTTTTGTGTAATATATATAAATATATATATATATATATATATATATATATATATATATATATATATATATATATATATATATATATATATATATATATATATATACACACACACACACATATAAAAATATATAAAACTTGATTTAGCCACGATATGGCTGAAATATTGCCGATGTGACTATGAACTATGACTATTGGGAAACCCAGGTCATATGAGTATAGATGCTAAGCAATAAATATCTTCATTTCGTATACATAAAATCAATCCAGTGTCCCACTCACAACATCAATATGAAATCAAATGTCGATTCGGTTAAGAAATTATCAGTTTCAATAACTTCTGGGGACAATGTGATTCGTGCAAGCAAATAAACAACCACATGCTGTACCAGATAAAGATCGACGAAGATGGGAGTTCATGAAATATTTACACATGTGATTTCATTAAAAGTAACTTGAGACGTGAATGTAGACTAAAATCTAGCCTCTGAAATGAACATATCGTACATAAAAAAAACATTTGTTCAGTTATCTTAATAAAAATATAATAAAAAGGAGCCCAGTGACTCTCTTCATTTTCAGATATTGCAGTGATCTAGACTTGCCAAACATTATAGACTTGCATGGGCTGTATTTGATATATATTTGTATCAGGGTCTGTAAGACAGACTAACGTGAATGGAATTCCCCCTGATCTAGTAAACCGTTTGATGGTAGGTTAACCGTATTGACTTTCAAGTTGCCGTGCTACTATGGAAGCATGAACCCTTGAAAACAAATCTTCTTTGTGTAGGACATGTTTCTATTACTTGTATTTACAACAAGGCTAGCTAATATGGCGGAATTCATATTATACTTACTGGAAAATCTGAACACGAAGCAGCACACTGAAAGCAATATCTGAAAAATGGAAATTATACCACTTCAACCAATGCAGTCAAAGATCGGCATCACGGATATAACATTAATAGTCTTAAAGAACCCACGTGGTGGAAAGACTCAATTAATAAAGGATAAACAAATAAAATATATATTCCATTGCCTATTTTGACGATAGATTAATATCTCACTTGGTTTGGTTTGAATGTTTGACCACTCAGAAATGGGACAAGAAACATGTGACAAATCAGTCAGAATTTACCTTTTAAAGTAAACGATGTACATAGTTCGCAGGGAACAGACAGACAGATTTATACGAACCCAGTTAGACTTGCAAAACATTGCACTAGACCTTTCCATCCTGAAGAGATTTGTGTTTCTAATCATTGCCTCAGTCGTAGTTAATTATACCTATGAACGCTGTATGTGTTCAGATGTACCATATTTCGATAATCGATTGAATAACATTTGTTTTGCATAGATCGATACATTGATATAAACACAAACAGGTAACCATCAGCTTGCGCAACAAAGCAACCAGCTACATCGTCGTGTTCGACAAGTTTTCATAGTAATCAAAGTATTGGGGTTTTCGTTATTCGTGACTCTTATCAGGGATGCGTGTTAAAAATCATGGATTTTAAGGGACGTGCTTGTTTGGGTTTGTCACGTTTCGAAGGAAAAAACGACTGTGGAAGCTTTATTGATAATCTTGTGCTTCGATTCGAAATACACGTATAATGGTCATAAAAACACCTAGGTATAAAAGTACGTACGTTATTGATGTACCGCTCCATCTACGGTGACTAGGACTGGCCTGTTGTTCTGGGCCTATGTAATAGTGTTCAAAGCGCATGACGACACACTACAGGGAACCATTTTCAAAGTACATGACTACACACTGCAGAGCACAATGTTCAAAGCGCATGATTACACACTGCAGAGCACCATGTTCAAAACGCATGACTACACACTGCAGAGCACCATGTTCAAAGCGCATGGCTACACACTGCAGAGCACCATGTTCAAAGCGCATGACTACACACTGCAGAGCACCATGTTCAAAGCGCATGACTACACACTGCAGATCACCATGTTCAAAGCGCATGACTACACACTGCAGAGCACCATGTTCAAAGCGCATGACTACACACTGCAGATCACCATGTTCAAAGCGCATGACTACACACTACAGGAATCCATGTTCAAAGTACATGACTAAACACTGCAGAGCACCATGTTCAAAGCGCATGACTACACACTGCAGAGAACCATGTTCAAAGCGCATGCCTACACACTGCAGAGAACCATGTTCATAACGCATGACTACACACTACAGGGAACCATGTTCAAAGTACATGACTACACACTGCAGAGCACCATGTTCATAGTACATGACTACACACTGCAGAGCACCATGTTCAAAGCGCATGACTACACACTACAGGGAACCATGTTCAAAGTACATGACTACACACTGCAGAGCACCATGTTCAAAGTACATGACTACATACTACAGAGCACCATGTTCAAAGCACATGACTACACACTGCAGAGCACCATGTTCAAAGCACATGACTACACACTACAGGGAACCATGTTCAAAGTACATGACTACACACTGCAGAGCACCATGGTCAAAGTACATGACTACACACTGCAGAGCACCATGTTCAAAGTGCATGACTACACACTGCAGAGCACCATGTTCACAGCGCATGACTACACACTGCAGAGCACCATGTTCAAAGCACATGACTACACACTGCAGAGCACCATGGTCAAAGTACATGACTACACACTGCAGAGCACCATGTTCAAAGTGCATGACTACACACTGCAGAGCACCATGTTCACAGCGCATGACGTATCAAGTTTCTTGTATGGGTCCTGGGTGCTGGCTGCAGGGCAGGGCATGCTTACGCTTTTCGTAAACACCTGGTGTCATCGTTGATTTTCAGTGATCCATTCATATAATGTTCACCGCTGTTTTGCCGTTTACGTCCAATAGCATTTGTTTCAGTGGATAATCGAGACTGATATTCTCTGGTGTTTAATACACTCACTACCAAGAGAAACGCGAACCATAGAAAAAGCTGGAAGCTTAGAAGTACGGAAGTTTATAAGAGGTGTTTCACATGTGTACCAATTAATCACAACACTAACAATCAGTCAAGTGTTGCGACATAGTGTCACGGTATTATTGCGTCACATTTTGACCGGAACAGTAACATCCTAGCGGCCATAAATAATGTCACTTTTGTGTTCAGCAACGAGACATGTCAATAACCTATGTGACCTCCATCAGCAGCGACCACAGCAGCTAAAAGCCTACCCATGTTCATGATTCCGGGAGCGGTAGGGTAGCCTAGTGGTTAAAGCGTTCACTCGTCACGCCGAAGACCCGGGGTCGATTCCCGACATGGGTACAATGTGTGAAGCCCATTTCTGGTATCCCCCGCCCTGATATTGCTTGAATATTGATTAAAGCGGCTTCATATGAAAACACAACGTTCTGCCATTGACCGTTTCGCCAGTCACGATGAAATGTTGCCCACTTTTGCCGCGCACGGCCGTGGTGTGGACTCAATCGAGCCCCAACGAACATGTAGGGTCAACGGCAACGTAAATAGTTGAGACGGCGTCAAGCGGTTTTGAGACTTATTGTGAGCTCTAACAATGTTTCTTGCTCTAATGGCTGCCTGTAAGAACCGATTCCGTAAATGAGAATTAACAACATAATGACGACACGAAACGGTATGACGACACTCGAGGGAGACCCCTCCGAGCTTGACGTTGTTTGTCTGGACGTGAAGTTGCAGAACTCTGTAAACAGTGGACTGGTGAACTCCTTATTAACGGGCAACACGTTGAACATTCCACCCGGCCTCAATATTGCCCATAACTCTGTGGCTGTCATCAGTGATCAAGCGTGGCATGTAAGCCACATGCTGAATAGCTTACCAAACTTTACTCGATAATCCTACACGAGACAAATGGTGCATCTCGCGTCATGAATCTCTGATGTCACATGTGTTACGCCAGATAAGTATTGAGAAACACATTGATTGTGATAATAACTCTCTGATAACAGAGGGCGATTGGGTAACCTAGTGATTAAAGCGTTCGCTCGTCGAGCAGAAGATCCGGGTTCGATTCCCAAAATGGAAATATGAGATGATCTTAACATGCCTTTCACTGATGAGGAAGTCCTTAGGAGTTTGCACAATTTAAAAAATAATAAATCTCCAGGGTCTGAGGGTATTGTAAGTGAGTTTATGAATCAACCAGACATTACATTGCACCTATTTTAATAAAACAAATGTTCAACAGAATCCTTCACACTGCAGGTTTTCCAGAGGAGTGGGGGGCAGAGCATAATCTGTCCCACGTTCAAAGGAGGTAGGAAGAATAAACCCCATAATTACAGGGGAATATGTCTCATTGATACTTTAAGTAAGGTATTTACTTCCATTCTAGAGAGAAGATCCTACTCCTGGTGTGACTGAAACAATATCTTAAATGAAACACAAGCAGGTTTTAGATCAGATTTTGTTCAGGTTGTCAGTGTCTAGATCAGACCCGCGAGGACGTTGCGTCATTAGCCAATTTGATGATTTTATCATACTCTTCTACTTTGTTCGATACAGCTATTCTTGATCTGTCTTTGTATTCAGGCACAGAAACAATATATCCACTTTCAATTGATGAATTATAGACAAACACCAACGGTTTCTTTACGTGGCAGAAAAGCATAACATTAAAAATTAATTATGAAAGTTCATTACGAATGCTCCAAATGGGGACGTGTTATAGCAAACATCATTACTGAAACATCCAATTGATTATTTGTTCTTCAAATATTTTCCGTGATGATGTGGAGAACGAATGTTTCTCTTTTAGATGACAACATGTTTGTTTTGAACGCGTGTGTGCTTATGGGTTTTTTCCAAGTTGATCTTAACTGGTTGAATATATATTATATTAGGGTTGAGTATTTTGTTTCTGTCGATCTTTAGAAATGTGGATATTTTGATCCTACAAGAACATGTAGTTCTGACATACATTTATATCGGTTTGGTTACGTCCATGAGTAATTAAGTGTATTATGTACCCAGTTCATGGGCAAAAAGTAAAACACAATTCTCGGTAGATTTCTCTAGCAAAAATACATTCTTCATGGCCCAAAGCAAACTTTGTTCATAAAAATGTAAAACGTCAACGCCAGAGAATAATCAGTTTCGATTATCTGCCGAAATAGATTCCACTCTGCATAAAAGGCCAAACAGTGGTACACATCATAAGGTTGGATCAATGATGAAGAGATGAACAATATGTCTGTGACACTGATTGACAATTTGCCACAGAAATGTTCAGACCGAGACATTAAAAGTGCCCCCACTGTGTTGCAAAACAAACATGTCTTTCTTAAACGATATTGTTTATTTTAAGCAGCGGAATCTCGACACTTATACAAAACAGACGTACTTCAAAATTAAAATATCGTTTTTATAATTTTCAACAAAATCAGTAAATGCAATATCGTAGCCTTGGATTGTTTGGTTCATCGATCACTTGATTTGTCTTGATTTCGCATTGCAGGCATCTGGACAAAATAATTAATCAATATAAGAGAATGTTTTCAGTCATAATGAGGCGTGTATATTAACTTGAAATGTTTAACCTATTATTCGATCATGGTATATTTTAAGGACAGTGGCTTTAGTGGTATTATTAAACTAATATATAAACTTTAAGGTAAAAGTGATAAAACAAGAACCAGACAAAAAAGACCTGTCTTATAAGTTTTCTCGGAAAACTTTTCAGTTGAATTCTGAACAATAGAATATATAAGTTCTTAAATTCAAATAACGTTTCTGTCCGAATCACAAGCTGGGTTTAGAAGGATTATTCTACAAGTGATCATATACTCTGCATAACCTAAAATACTTACTTAAGTCAAGGAAAAAGAAAGCTTTTGACACCGTTTGGAGAACTCGAGTCTGGCGTAAACTACTAGTACAAGATATTATAAGTACAAGGTATTGGTGGTAGATTTGATTAAAAGTGAAACCATTTGGTTTATATGTTTATCAGGCTATTAATTTTCGAATACCCTGAAAATAATTTACTTTGGTTTAAGACAGTACTGGTATATATTTCCTATCACTGTTTCAAGACACTTATTATTGTTTGAATAAGGAGGTTTTTTAATCACATGTCCTTCAGGATAAAGAGCATAACCAGCGCATTAATTTGAGGGAAAATTATATTATTTCATTATTTTACGGAACATGTTATTTTTGTCTAAATCCCAAAAATGGAAATTCTTGTGAATTAGGAACTTTTTTTCCATGAGCCAAACCTACACAGTAATT